GCGCCCCCCCTCTCCGTTTCTCCTTGCAGCAGGAGTGGCGCTCAGGCAGGTTCAGGTACTGCAGCGGGGTCTTGTCCCAGGCAGGCAGAGACAGACGAGCAGAGCAGATTCTACTCCCTTTTTATGGATCAGAGACCATTGTTCGAGAAAGTACTGTCTGAATTAGCCAATCACCATTGGCCAGGTACATATTCTGTTAGAAGCAGGTTTTAATCTATTGTTTATTTTTCTGCCAGTTAACATAACCCTTGTGCTGCTTCTTTGCTATGCACTTATCTGGTAGGGCAAGAGGCCTGCTCATTCTGTCCTTGAGTGAATCAGTGGAAAGGCGTCACTTTTATTTTGCTGACTTGAAAAGCATTTTTTGTTTAGTCTTATGTGGGGGGAAGAAGATGGACCGTTCCCCACACAAGTACAGGTGTTATTATAGTCCCTTTGGAGCTGTGAGGTAGATGATGTTCCTGAGTAGGTTGCTTGTGAAAAAAGAGTCTCTAGTTCACTTTGGCTGCCCTTTAGCTTTGTGTTGAGTCTCTGTCCTTTGCAGCTATATATATGTTTGAGCTACCAATTTTTTCCTTGTGTGAACACAAAGTACATTTCAAAGCTCTTAGAAAATATATTTTTCTTTTCAAAGATCATGGCCAGAGCAAAGCTGGGAGTTGTACTAGCAACTGCATATAACTCTTGGCCAGTCATTTAATAATTAAATCTGTATTTTACCTACCTGGATAATAGGAGAATTATTTGGTACTGTAGATTCACATATCAGTTATGTATAAATACTGATTTTATTACAGCATTAGGATGTGTTAGTGCCTCAGAACGTGTGTATTAATCATTTGGGTTTGTTGTTATGCTGTGGCCTTGGAAATAAATTGGTTCTTATGTGATATTCACTGTGTACATTAAAATACCATCTCCAGAAATTCTTCTTTTAAGTTGCTTTTAAGAGAATTTTACTCAGTGCAGTTATTGACAAATATTTTTCTTATATGTTCCTTTATTTTACAGTATGTATTTTATTATTTTTGGGGGGGGGGGGAAGTAAAATGTTTGGTTTACTGTTTGGGTTTTGTGTTTTTTCTTCATATTTAGCAGACCTTGAGATGTCATCCCCATCTTTGTTGTATTGTCTGTTATTAAGTAACCTTTCTTTCCTTAACTCGTGTTTCTCTCCCATAAATGTTTCATAATTCCCTTGCACCATCCAGCATTTCATTCATTAGCCTTGAAGGAAGCATGAACTCTATTTTAATATTCTTTAAAAATGAAGTTTCAAAGTGGATTAAGGCAGATAAGACAATATTGAGCTTTTCACAGCACCTTTTAGAAGCAGGGAAGTAGCGTTACTTCGTGCTGTAGATGGAGGGTGGGAAGCAGCATACAGTTACATACATACAGTTACAGGCATCTTGGGGTGGATCAGGAAACTGAAGGATTGTCAGGGTGCAGAAAAATATCTCTGAAACATCCATACTTTCTCAGGCTGCTCAAGTACTAATTGCCCTTGTCTGCAGAAATGCATTTTTAAAAACCAGTAGATTAAATCTTAACCCTGCTATTTCTTGTCTACATTTTTTTTTAATTGCCATAAATTTACCATTTACTATACTTTTAAACCCATAAGTGATTTGTTCTATACTATTAATCTGTAAGTGAATGTGGTAATTAAATTATCTTTATTCTGAATTCCAAATGAAGATGTAGGTGGATGGCAGTGTGAATAATGAAGATAATATGGTAAATATTGATCTCTAAACCAAAATTTCCCTGAAGGTGCTTCAGGTACTTCTGAGTTGATAACGTGCAAGTTTATCGATAGCTTAGGTTTTTTGTGTTTGCACTGAAGCAATGCTGTTTATTAAATTATAACTTGAAGTAAAATGTAGGATACTGGTGTGGTTGGATACTGTTTCTTGCTTGCAGCCCATACTATTTGATGCTGTTTTCCTGGTAGATGTGAGAGAAATTGGGTCAGCTTGTAGATTCTTATACAACAAGGACTTGTATGGGAGACACTCAAGGAGCAATTGAATGGTGTATTAGATAATCCTAAAAAGTCTTTACATGACTCACCAGCATAGTGGTTCTCTGCTGAGAACAAATCTGTGTTACACATAGCTAATGTTTCTAAAGACCTTGCTTGTAGATATCATAAACCCTGTGTCCTTGACAATTTAGTATCACTTCATGGTGCTTCTTGTAAATACAGCTTTGTTATGCGAGATCTTCTGGCAGAGTGGTTCCATTGGAAAAGGAAGGCGTTTATTGTCTTGCTCTATGATGTTCAGCAGCTGCTCAGTTTCTGCTCAAAGTGACTGGATTTCTCCTGTGTCATGTCGGTACTGTAGGTTTGCAAATTGCCATAAAAACATTGTAATTTTATAAGGTTGAGGTCCTGTTCAACTGAAAGTAGATTTCTCATATATATGGAAATTGACCTATATTCTGGTCTGTCTAGGTAGATGACTACCAAGTCTAGGAATTTTCATGCTGGTGTTGTTCATAAGTGCTAAAATTATTCATTAAAATATGTTTAAAGTTCCAGGAAAAGAAGTTTAGCATATGTTGCTTACATGAATTTATTTAAATGTTATAAAGTAAGAGTTTAGAAATATTCTTATTTTCTGATTTGTTTTGATTATTCTAGTGAGGTGAACCACATTTAATGTGATTTGAATGCCATCTTTCATGGATGTGTAAAAGGAAGAATAGTTTGGTGTAACAGGATGAGTTCCATACTGTCTGTAATTGAAAGCAAAGGATTGAGTGAGTTATTTAGGTAAATTATTCTTACTGTTCTGTTCTTGTGCAGGCTGTTGTATTGTTGAAGTCCATATCTATTCCACTCAGTTTTCCAGACCATGTGCTTCATGCTTTGAGACTAAGAGAACCTTCTGAAATGAAGATGGAGGCAGTGGGAAAAACAGAGGAACTTGCTGATTTGGAAGTTCTACCAAAGACTTCTGAGAAGCAAGAGACAGCTCCTGATGAAGACAGACACATAGAACTGGAAAGACAAACTCAGAAAGACACTGTGCCCACTGCAGCAGACTCTACAGTGCTCTCTTCAATGCCTTGCTTACTGATGGAACTGAGGCGAGACTCCTCGGAGTCTCGGCTAGCATCTACAGAGAGCAATAAGCCAATGGGTGATCAAGTTTATGAGAGTGACTCTTCTAACCATTGCATGCTTTCCCCTTCTTCCAGTGGGCATTTGGCTGACTCAGATACATTGTCTTCCACAGAAGAGAATGAGCCCTGTCAAGCTGAAGCTGCTGTAGAGGGAGACCTTTCTCTGATGTCTGGGGCTGCAGTTGGGAGGAAATCCAGGCGATCCAGGTCTGAAAGTGAAACTTCAACAATGGCTGCCAAGAAAAACCGACAGTCTAGTGATAAGCAGAATGGTCGAGTTACCAAAGTAAAAGGTCATAGGAGCCAAAAGCACAAAGAAAGAATCCGGCTCTTAAGACAGAAACGGGAGGCAGCTGCTCGCAAGAAGTACAACCTGCTGCAGGACAGCAGTACCAGTGATAGTGACCTGACGTGTGACTCGAGCATGAGTTCATCAGATGAAGAGATTTCAGGGAGCAGCAAGACAATCACTGCAGAGATACCAGGTAGAGGATGTTTTTAAAACTGAACTGTAACACATATGACAATTTCTCAGCTGTCATGCTAAGTTAGATGAGTGACACTTGAGAAGAAGCAGAACTGTAGTTCTGAGTAAATTTGAAGGCTGCCAGTATATTACCAAGTCATGGGCAAATTTTAAAATCTGTTCTGAGGTTTCAGTGCACTTTTGCACACTAACAAAGTATAGAAATGGTAAATTGGAGGAAGGGCTATATTTGTATTCTGGATTTTTCAGATCTTTTCCTTTGTAAGCCTATATGAATTCCTATCAGTGCTATCAAATCCTATTAGATGGTGATAATCTAATGAATACATTCTTAAGATAAGTGGCCAGCTTTGCTTTAATATGTTAAGACCAGAGCTCGGCAGCTGTGTTAGAAATAACATAGCATACCTCTTGCCCATGTTATAGTAAGGCCCTGTTCACTATTGTACTTATACTGTGCTTTCAGGTCTACATTTCAGTGCATGATAAATCTACTTAGCCTTATTGTAAATTTTTGTAGATTGCAGCTGGTCACCTGTTTTGGGACATAAATATGGCTTGGTTTATGCAGGTGCCCAGGCTATAGCCATATCTACATTTTCAACATTTTAGACAAAGCTGTTAACCTTTTCCTATGTCATAGGAATCTATAATTTCTATACTTTTTATTTTCTGACACATCCATGTTAAGATTGAAGGCAGCAAATTATAGGGGTCTTCTCATTATTTTATTAGCAAAAGAAAGATGAATCCTTCAAGGCTTTTGTCTGCTGGGTATTTTATTAGTCCAAGTGCTGTGGAGAGGATTTTCTGTGACTTATTCTTGCAGCATATTATACCCTAGAACCATCATCATATGGCAATCTTCATATGGTAATCAAAATCAGATCAAAATAAACTTTTTGACCTGCCGATTTTTACTGAGTTGCATTCCATTTTGCCTCTTGTGCTGGAAGATATTTTTTAAGATAAATATCAGATAAATATCAGCTTACATAGGGCAAGAACATTTAAAGGAAAACTGCAATAAGTCTTAAGTTGCTGAACTAATATTTGCTAGATGAGCACTGGAATAGGCTCCCCAGAGAGGTTGTGGAGTCTCCTTCTCTGGAGACTTTCAAGACCTGTCTGGATGTGTTTCTGCGTGATCTGCCCTAGTTTTTGGTTCTGCTCTGGCAGGGGGGTTGGACTCGATGATCTCTGGAGGTCCCTTCCAACCCCTACCATTCTTTGATTCTATGATTCTGTGAATTATTTAAAATATTTGCAGCAGAATTTACAAATAACTATTTTAACTGACTTGATTATAGTGAATGATTCTGTCACTATGAGCACTGGCATTTTTCCCCATGTATTGCAAGGTAGCAGGTTGCACAAAGGAAGTGAATGTTTATTATTAGAAAGTCTGGGAAAGGCATAGTCCTCTTGTAATTATTGTGTAGTAAACTTTTAATAGAAATTCTAAAATTATTTTACCAATTTAGTAGTTAGTCAAACTTCTAGCTTTCATAGTTTTGTGCCTTTTTATTTACTATATTTACACTTTGAGCAATTAAAGCCTGAATTAAAGCCTGATTTAAAGCCAGTCAAAGAAGTCCTTGAGTTTTGGGACAGGTTCTTCTCCATCCCTAAAAAATGGAACACACAAAATAAATCCCCCAGGTTGTATTCTTCTTTAAGTCATAAAAGTACCTTGTGGCTCAGAAAGGGTACCACATGGTATTTTCACAGAATCACAGAATCTTAGGGGTTGGAAGGGACCTCGAAAGATCATCTAGTCCAATCTGGATGTGTTTCTGAGTGATCTGCCCTAGTTTTTGGTTCTGCTCTGGCAGGGGGGTTGGACTCGATGATCTCTGGAGGTCCCTTCCAACCCCTACCATTCTTTGATTCTATGATTCTGTGAATTATTTAAAATATTTGCAGCAGAATTTACAAATAACTATTTTAACTGACTTGATTATAGTGAATGATTCTGTCACTATGAGCACTGGCATTTTTCCCCATGTATTGCAAGGTAGCAGGTTGCACAAAGGAAGTGAATGTTTATTATTAGAAAGTCTGGGAAAGGCATAGTCCTCTTGTAATTATTGTGTAGTAAACTTTTAATAGAAATTCTAAAATTATTTTACCAATTTAGTAGTTAGTCAAACTTCTAGCTTTCATAGTTTTGTGCCTTTTTATTTACTATATTTACACTTTGAGCAATTAAAGCCTGAATTAAAGCCTGATTTAAAGCCAGTCAAAGAAGTCCTTGAGTTTTGGGACAGGTTCTTCTCCATCCCTAAAAAATGGAACACACAAAATAAATCCCCCAGGTTGTATTCTTCTTTAAGTCATAAAAGTACCTTGTGGCTCAGAAAGGGTACCACATGGTATTTTCACAGAATCACAGAATCTTAGGGGTTGGAAGGGACCTCGAAAGATCATCTAGTCCAACCCCCCTGCCAGAGCAGGATCACCTAGATTTTTCAGATCTGCCTAGATTTCTGACTTCCATTGCAGAGATCAGAAACCACTCTAGGATACTTTTCTGTGTCACTAGGCTCTTCTGTATTTGAGCTCTCAGTCTTAACCATGAGATGCTTACAGTGAAAAAATTCCATTGTAGTGCAAAAAATAACTTGATGATTTAGTGATTATTATACCAAGGCCCAATTTTTACTGCAATGTAAGATGTGGGAGTGCAAAAACCATCCTGAGGAACAATGACCTTTCATAGCATGTATCATCTGCTTGATACTAACTTACATTTAAGACATTAAAACTTTTGAGCTGTCCTTTTAGAATTCGGTGCAATGTGTACCTGTCATGTTGCAGTTTTCCTTTAAACAGAAATTAATTTGGTTTGTGGAAAATAGTCTCCAAGTACAAGAGAAAAATATTCTCTTTAGAGATAAGGACAAGGTTGGCCAAAAATGCATCCTGTGCTACTTGTGGGTTAATGAAATGTTGTGGTCTTAACAGATGCAGTGGAGTTCTGAGTCTGAATAGGACTCTGCTGCAGTGGTTGGTTCACATGCCATCTGCGATCCCTCTTGGAGCTGGGAAAGTGCTGAAATTATTTATTTTTTTTACTAGAAAGCCATTTTAGTGCACTTAGCATTACACTGCGATTATCCTCAAAATGTAGGGAATGAACACGTAGTTAGAAAATAATACAGGGTATCAAAAAGCATTACTGGAAATTCAGGCCATAAGTATCCTCTGCAAACAGTTGAAAGCTAAGAGAAAACTTCAGGTTTAACTTGATACTTGAACTTGAGAGTCAAGAAAATACAATTCACCTCTCAGGACAACAGAAGCATGAAAAAACTTTTGCCTTTACTTTTGAAAAAAAGTCTGTACATATTGATACAGAAGAGTTTTACAGATAGTCTGTGTTCCCCTTAGTCTTACTGTGTTTGGTCACTTCCACTGTAATGTTGATTACTGTCTAAATGTAGCTTATTATTGAGGCTGATTTTCAAATGTCTATTGTCTGAAAAATAGCTTTGTCAACAGAGATGCTCTAAAATTTTTACTGACAGTTAATGTGGCCTTCATATACAAAGGTTGTACATACTCTGGCTCTTAACCTTCTGTTGACGTATGTAGTGTTACAGAAAACAGTTTGTGTGTGGTCTGAAAATTAAATTGTCACATTTGAGAATATGTCATGTTACTAAACCTCTTCTATTTTAATAGTGCAGTTTTGTTTTTTTTTAAAACAATCCACATGTCTGGTTCTGGAATAGGTTTGACTAAATTAGTACAGTAAGGAAAATGTTCAGTGAAATACATAATAATGCCACAAATGTGTGGTGTTATTAGATTCACTTTTATGCATGCACCCAAATTGTGAATGGAGTTGTTGTGCAAGAGAGAGTCAGTTCTCTCTACTGAACTCAAATGTAATGTGGATTATAATACTGGCAGGCTTGGTTTTCTTCTCAACAAAGATTGAAGAGTTGAGATCTTATTGGTAATACTTCAATACAAATATTGTGAGCTCCTTAGGAGTTAAGCACAATATATGTTATTCTAAATGTCTTATATGGTGTTAATCTATGCTTAAAAATACAGATTCAATCTAAACTTCATGAATGCTACTGAGAATCTTGTAGCTGATCTGAGTAGCCATAAGCTTGGACTCTTTAGTCAGGGAATGCCATGATTTTTTAATTATTGCAGATGAGGAGCAATTTCTTATCTTTTAAGGACTGAGCCTCTCTTGTCAGCATTTAGGAATTTACCCTTCTTAAACAAACATCAGATAACATTCACATTGGGCATAAGAGGATGATCTTGGAGTCCTGAAATAGGTTCTGCTAAACCTGCTGCTGATGAAAATTTTTCCTTTAAGCAATTTCAATTTTGACCATGCAAATTAATTCTGAATAAAATTGGCATGGGAGCAGGTCTGGAAATCAATATTTATTTCTGTGTAAGCACTTTCTTTGGAATCATAGAATGGTTTGGGTTGGAAAGGACCTTGAAGGTCATCTAGTTCCAACACCCCTGCATGGGCAGGGACACCTCCCACTAGACCAGGTTGCTCTAAGCCCTGTCCAACTTGGCCTTGAAGCCCTCCAGGGAGACGGCATCCACAACCTCCCTGGGCAACCTGTTCCAGTGTCTCACCACCCTCACACTAAAGAAATTCTTCCTAATGTCTAACCTAAATCTATCCTCTTCCAGTTAAATACCATTACGCCTCATCCTATCACTACACATGCTTGTAAAAAGTCCCTCCCTGGCTTTCCTGTAGGCCCCCTTCAGGTACTGGAAAGCCGCTCTAAGTTCTCCCTGGAGCCTTCTCTTCTCCAGGCTGAACAGTCCCAACTCTCTCAGCCTGTCCTCATAGGAGAGGTGCTCCAGGCCTCGGATCATCTTTGTGGCCCTCCTCTGGACTCACTCCAACAGCTCCATGTCCTTCCTGTGTTGAGGGTTCCAGAACTGGACACAGTACTCCAGATGGAGTCTCATGAGCATGGAGTAGAGGGACAGAATCATCTCCTTTGACCTGTTGGCCACGCTTCTTTTGATGCAGCCCAATATGCGGTTGGCTTTCTGGGCTGCAAGTGCACATTGCCAACTCATGTTGAGCTTTTCAAGGACCGATACCCCCAGGTCCTTCTGTTCTCAATCAGTTTTCCACCCAACCTGTATTTGTGCTTGTGGTTGCCCCAACCCAGGTGCAGGACCTTACACTTAGCCTTGTAGAACTTCATGAGGTTGGCATGGGCCCACCTCTCCAGCCTGTCAAGGTCCCTCTGGATGGTATCCCTTCCCTCCAGCGTGTCAACCATACCACACAGCTTGGTGTCATCATCAAACTTGCTGAGGGCACACTCAATTCCACTGTCCATGTCACTGATAAAGATGTTAAACAGCACTGGTCCCAGTACCAACCCCTAAGGAACGCCATTTGTCATTGGTCTCCATCTGGACATTGAGCCATTGATCACTCTTTGAGTGAGACCAGCCAGCCAATTCTTTATCCA